GTAGGCAGTGGGTGGGGATGACTAGCTGCCCTCCCTCTAGTCTTACACTGCTAAATTAGGGATGACTAGCACAGATAGACCTCGTGTAGCTTTGCGCGAAATTGAAAAACAAACAAACAAAATTTTACTTGTTCAAAAATGCTTTAATATTACTCCTATTTCTATTACATGCTATTCCATTAATTTCATTTTTGGAGGGAATGAATCACTTGTAAGTGCTTTTCTGGTTAGATAGTCACAGTGTCTGATAAGCTAGGCAATACACAAGTGTTACAATAGTTAGATGCATGCAGTTCTGTGGAAAACTGTATCATCCATGTGTATTTACTGTTCTGCATGGTCAAATAGCCAAAGATGATGGGAAACTGATTGCAGAGCTCTGATGTGTAACTGATGTACTCTAATTCACTAATTTTATTACAATCTGCCAGCTTAAGATGATAAATGTATAGGACAGTCAGTTTGGAAATATATAAGAAGCTTTAGGACAATAGTTGGTCAATTATACTTGAGCACTACAGTGACTTCATCCATTTGTAAAAGAATAGCTACTGCTTAAAGAGTGTCATTCTTTCAGAGAACCATTGTTGTAGTAGTAGTAGTGTATTGGTAGCTTGCTTACTATTTTATGACAAAAATGATTAAAATATTTTGGAACTGTAACAGTTATTTATTAGTAACAGTCAGTATTATATACTATGCTGTGTGACATTTGGATACATGAATGTTGCAGATTAACGAGGAAACAAACCTAATTTTAATCGCCTATTATCTTTAGGAACTGCAACATCTCCAGAGTTATCTTTAACTGCACATTATACATCAGCTGAAGATGTAAAGGAAGCGATTAGCACAAAGAACCAGAATCATTCTGAGGTAAGCTTAAATTTAAGCACTTTTTATTCATTTAAAATACAAAAAAAAGTTTTTAAATTATGTTTATAGAAATATCAGGAAATCTGATTATATGTTATTGTAGGTATGCTCGTGTAAGGTAAATATTATACGTATATGTTCAAAGATAAGTTTCAAGGTGTGAGGAACCGGTTCAGCACTATCCGTTATTTCAGATATTGGCATCTGACGGTATGTTATCGCTATCATACATATATTACATAACCACTTATTATTTACTTTATGAGTAATCTTGTTTTCAATGGCCTGAGCACCTAGTAAAAGTCAAACTATGATGTTAGGCTAAATTCTGTAAAATGTGTAAAGCATTGTAAACATGTGGCATTCATATAAGCTGAGCTACAACACATAAATTCTTAATTAGGGAGATATAAAGAAAAGAGTAGTAGAAATAGGATAGCTGTCTGCATAACAGACAGGTAAGGTTTTATTGAAGTGTGAGATGTGATGATGTTAAACATTCATAACTTCTAAAATGGCCTGTACAAAATGTATTGTTTTGGGTTTTAAATTGAATTAATGTGATTACAATTTTGTTTTTTAATCAGTGTCAGTTTTATGGGGGCCAAATTCTTTACGGTAGTGTCTGTGATTTGTTGGCAGAAATTACAACAATAAATGGACAGCACACAATCCACTTATTTTAAAATAATATATTCAAAACAAGTCAAACGTATGTACAAACATTTGTTATGCTGTTGGTTATTACAGTTCTAGTCAGAGCTTTAAATAATTGTTTCTTTTTCGTCAAAGTCCATACATGTGGGTTTAATTAATTTCGAACACCCTTTGACAAGACAAATTATTCTTTTCTACTCTGCTAGCATTATACAATCTGTGATAAATTCACTTACATTACCTCGTGGGTTACCACAGTTGTATTCAGAACTTTAAATAATTGTCTCCTTTTCATCAAAGTCCACACAGGCTAGTTCAATTACTTTAGAACACCCTTTGAAAAGACAAAGTGATCTCCTTATCTCTGTTAAACAGTGAAACTCACTTTAAATATTGCTTGTTATGGCTAAACTAACAATCATGCAGTCTAATTTAACTTTCACTAACTTAATCTTTACTCATTTAAGTTGCACTCACTTGGTCGCCTATATATATACATTGTCCAACTGAAACCTAGAACTTTCTACAAACTTAAGGCAACAAGAAAAATACAGAAGGTTCAAGTAATGTGACATCAATTTACAACAATTGAACTACACAAACGATGTACGACTCTTACCACGTTACGTAACAAAATTTGTCACGTAACTTTCACCTTTTAAAATAATTATTTTTAATACTTGTTATGATAACTGAATAATCATTAAATATTAGATCACTAAATAATAACTCTTACACTAAACAATCTTGAATATCCCACAACCAGAATTTGATGTATCTATTCTCTTTACCTTTGAAAGCTGAGTTTAAGAGAGTCTGAAGCTGTACCAATCAATAACAGTTTGACTTCTAATGAGGATAAGTTTGGTTTTACTCGCCTTGGGCCCCGTTGTTCTGTTAGACTATCTATGTTATCTAACAGTAAAGACTCCTGGCGATGGGAAGAAGCTGCTGAAAAACAACTGTTGATGGTAAGTTTGAAAATAATCTTCATTTAATATTTTTGTAATAGTTGTAGCAAAATGCATTTTAGAACACTTGAAAAACAGAAAATTCTGATATGTAAGTTATCCTGTGGACATGCATTTATAGTCATTAATATGAGGAGGGAGGGGACAATTGACATTATAACAGTGGTTCTGCCTTGTTAGTTAGTTTGTTTTAAGCACAAAGCTCCCAAATTGGCTATCTGTGCTGTGCCTACCACAGATATGAAAACCCAGTTTTTAGTGTTATATATTAGATGTAATTATACAGTGTTCCTGAAAGTGTTCTGTTTCAATAGTAAATAATTAATTTTAATGACCCAATTTTAGGTCATGACCCATGGGTTTAGAAAATCTGGAGTAGATGACAACCTAGAGTATTCTTGACATCAGTTTATAAATTACCATTTGGTTCTTATCTACTCGTGAAAATTTAAGAATAATGTTTTATAGAATTAGTAGCATAAGTTCAAATTCCTCACCTTAATTGTAAACCTGTAACAAATATTTTATGGGATTTTCATTACTGTCGGTAATATTTTAATCTTAACTGTAATGTAGTACATCAAGTAAAAAGAAATTTAGTACTTATAAATCACAGATTAATTTAACTCGTATTATATATCTGTATTACTATTTGAAAACATTGAAATGTAATTTCTGTTATGTAAACAGCAGAATATAACTGTGTACTTTGTCGATGTAACTAGTTTTCTATGAAATTTGAATATAGACAAAAAATAAGGAAAGGAAAGAACCACTAGGCAGACCAATAACGATGACCTATTCAGAAGAGAAGAGTCAAGAAAATGATGCACAGTTAGTTTGTTATATTTTCTTGTTTCATAGTAGAAAATTATATATGAAAGGCCGAATATTTAAAGTAAAAATGTGTAAAATTTAGAATAAATAAATTATTCATAAAAAAGTTAGGAAAAGGTAAATTAAGAAAACTGTGTTTGTTGAAAGATCTGTGTTTATACATCACAACATAAATCAGAAGCTGTAGGCAGTATAGCTAATCACATATTTGATAGAAAGTTATCAGTCTTCATATCAACATAGCATACAAGAAGAAAATGTAATTTATAAAATTTGGGGATAAATTTGTATTAAATTTATAACACTAAACTTTGAGAAAACATTTCCAACAAAAATATTTTCTCAAAATGTAGTTTTATAAATGTTGAAAATGTCTTTTTAAAGTCTAGTTTTATAAATGTTTTCTCAAAGTTTAGTTTTAGAACCAATTCAAATTTGGTCCCCTCATGAAGAGCATATTTCATACATTGAAAAACATGCATTACAATATCAATCACTCATGATCATAATTGAACTTATGAAAGTTTCTCAATAAAAAAAAACCTTCAGTGAAATTTCTGTCCAGGAATAACTTTTTGTCTCTTAAGGATTTTTACTTTCTAAGTTTTAATTTTGTGTAAGTGAATTATGTGGTGTCTTATAATCACAATGACTTCAGAATTGCCTTTCTAGCTCATTGTATATGTTTTGTGGTGTATTTCACTCCTTGTTCCTCCATAACAGAAAGATTTGCATCTGTTACCTTAAAATTGACCAATTTCTTTATTTACAGTCAGTGTAAGTTATTAATTTACACATTAAGTTTTACAAGGCTATCAAACCTTTTATGGATGTCTTGTATTGTGGATAAGTTTTATTCGTTTAACAGGTTTTTTTCTTCTGAGTATATGAAATGTCCTCTGTTTTTTCTTACCATTCGTTTGATAATGAAATATGTGAAAGTGAAATGTTTTATCGTTTGTTAGATAAATAATAATTATTAATTATGCAAAAAAAATTACTTCAGTTTGTTTGCTGCAGTTGATAATTAGTTATTTGATTTTCAGAAAGAAAAAACAACAACTATATTTTCAGAATTAATAGTTAAATTGATATATGTGTGTGTTATATGAAATATTGAAATGTACGTGAATGGTGATATTATGTGATATGAAAGTAAAGAGAACATAACAAAAGCTAATTTTACAGAAATAACTTATTATTATGACTCATTTCATATACACTTCCAATAGATAATAGAAATTAATGTTATGTTGCATAAAAATAAATCTTATGTTAAATAATCCACAAAAGACTGATATATTTTTTTAAAAATTATCTGGTACAAGCAAAAGTACCCGTCCCCAGTGAAGAGAAAAGTTTAAGTTAACCTATGAAAAATACCTGTCCTCAATGATGGGAAAAGTTTATGTTAATCTATCAAAAGTACCCATCCCCAGTGAAGAGAAAAGTTTAGGTTAATCTATCAATTTAAATTATTTCATGGACTTTAAAAAAGGTTAATTGTGTTACACTCTTGGTTTCACTCAGAGCCAAAGCTTTGAGCTTCTTATACTGCCCACCATAAAAAGTAATTGTTAAGCATTTCAGTCATGCTAAGAACCGCTCAAGAATAACATATGGTAAATCTATGTTTTTATTCTTTATGTTATGTC